CTTGACTCGACCGGGCTGGGCACCTCACATGGCGCGACGTCCCTCGGAGCGCTGCAGCGGCTTCGCTGGCGCCGGCGAGGAGCGGCAGGCCTGCGTCTTCTCGACGACCGACCTGGGCCGGCCGTCGAGAATTCATGCAAACCGGGGGCAGGCATCGTGCGTCTTCTGCTCAGAGTCAGTGCTGAGGCAGCGTCTGGGTAACTCCCGGGGCAAAGGTGTGGTCACGGCCGCCTTGGCTTTTTTTCACGAGCAAAGCCCGGAGGATGTGTACGTCCGCGCCGCGCAGCGGCTTCGAGACGTGGCTGGAGAGCTACAGCGCAGGAGCGCGACGCACGTGCACAGCAACAAGCTAAGGCCCGAGCTCAACGTCGAGGAGGTGGAGACCCCGCTAACTGGGCGGGTTTGTTGGAAGCCCGCCAATCCCAGTGCGACCCCTCGGCAGAAACGAAAAGAGTGCATGAGAGAAGCTGCGCCAGCCAGCTGCGAGCGTTGCAGAAGAAATTTCCGGCCATCTATGGCGAAGATGGACGGCCAGCGGCCGCTTGGCAGACGGACCTAGCCAAGGCCTTCACGAACTTCGCGAAGAACTGGTCGTGGCGCATGTGCCGCCAATGCGACCGGATGGTCCCACAGCCGTTCGAGCCCAAGCACGCGCGTGCCTCCGGAAGGCTCCAGCCCACGCTTGCAGCGTGCGGACACTGTTCCGCCGGGATCGGCTACTGGGCGCCGCGACCCTCCGACGTGCCCGAACCCCTGCGGAGGCTACCTGAAGAGGTACTCTCGGCGCTGGCCATTCTTGACGTCTACACGGGTCCGGCCGAGCGCGCGCTGCAGGGCCACTGGGTGCACACCAGCTGCGTTCGCTTCAGCTGGAAGCCGATATCCGTCGAGGAGCGCCTCAGCGCACTTCCTCGCGCAGCTTGGCGTGCTGGACGTGCCGCCTACACCTGGTTGATTGCTGCGGAGACCTGCCCATACCGCGACTTCCTGAGATCTCACACTGAGTTTCTGCGGCACCGTCAACGTCTTCTGGATCATGGCGACTTGGACGCTGCGACCCCAGTGCCCTGGCTGCCGCTGCGCTTTCTGGAAACGATCGGCTTGGAGTCTGCCATTTGGCCTCATCTCTATTGGGACCGCACCATGTGCGAAACATACGTTCGCAGCATGGATGCGAGGCGCCTTTCTCGAGCCGAGCAGCAAGAGGGCCGCGACGAGGATGCGGAGGGCGATGTGGACATGATGGAGGCCGCACTTGAGGCCGCCGAGCAACCGGAGAACGAGGTTGAGGACCCTGACAGCGGCTGTGAGGAAGAGCAGGCGGAGGACCCTTGCCCGGAAGGCGCCACGCGCCAAAGCGCCAAGGCTAGCTTCATCGCCAAGGTTTTCTCTTCGGTGATTGGCTATGGCACCGACCGTGCCCTGGCCCACTTTGTGTATGATCTCTGGATGTGGAGCTCTCTGGGCGGGGCCCGCAATGCCGCGCCCACGAATCTTCGCGGCGCCTTGGCCGGGCGGAGCTTCTCGCCTCTTTACTGGCAGAACATGCACGCCGGCCTCGTGGACTGCGTGCGCCAGCTCGGCTTCCCCTCCATGTTCGTGACTGTGGCCCCCTTGGAGCTGTCGGCGCCCTATCATCACTGGCTTCAGGACGAGCTTCACAAGGCCTGCCGCTGCCGCGCGAACCTTCCGGCGGCAGAGACGTTCCACCTCGCGCACCTGCTCTTCCAGACCGCCGAAGGCCTCCTCGCCGGAACCAACCGACAGCAGACGGCCAGCACACGTCGACGGTGGGATCGGCACATCTTGGCGAGTCGCGACGCTGCCGGTTCCAACGTGGTGGAAGTCTTCGCTCGTCTCGAATTCCAGGACGGGAAACGCAAAAGACACGTGGGCCCGGGTCAATCTTATCATGGCTCCGGGCGTGTCCACTTGCACCTCCTGATCTGGCTTAAAGACGCCGACGGCATCGACTGGCCGCGAGTCGTGCGCGCAGACATCCCGGACGCAACCACGGAGCCAGAACTGCACGATTTGGTGCGTGATTCCCAGCAGGACTGGGACGACAGCGCCTGGCCACGGAGAGATGGCCCCACGGTCTTCGACAGCGCAACAGGTGTCCTGCACCTTCACCATCCGGCCGACGCCCACGCAGCACATGTCCGGGCCTACTTGCCCGACCTGCTGGGGGCGCTGCAGTGTCACATGGACGTGCAGATGGGCGACGGCCGTGGACTCTTGCTGCAGTACGCGGCCAGCTACAACGCCAAGTTCAGCGACCAGTTCACGACCGCCTGGCTGAACGACGAGGCAACAGACTTCCAACTGGCCCGGAAGGTTCTTATGGAGTACCACCCACTCGAGCCCGAGATGTGGCTCCAACTCGCCGGGCAGCAGTACGTACGTTTCGGCAGGTGCTTCAGACCGGCGTGCTGCGCCGCGTGGTCGTGCGTCCGCCCTGGGCCGGCTTCCCACCGAGCCGTTGGGAGTCGCTCTACGTGGCCTGTGACTGGCGGTCGGAGAGCTGTCCGCTCCTGGAATACCTGCGCCAGTGCAATCAGTCCGGAGTCAAGCGCAAGAACAAGCGCCGGGTGCTGGTGGCGGCGACGCTACACTCGCCTCTGAGGGACAGCTACTTCGGCCAGTGGCTGCTGCTCAACGTGCCCTTCCGTTCCCTTGCCGATCTGTGGGACGATCGAGCGGCGAAGGTGCCCGAAGGCTATCGGATGCTGGCCTTGTGTTTGCTGCACCGTCCCGGCTACTGGCGTCGCCTCCACGACGTGCAGCGTGATCTACAGTTGGAAGGCCGCAAGGACGCCCACATCGGCAACGTCCTGAGCATGTTGGAGGCTCGCACCGCGGTCGTCGATGCTTATCTCTCTGGCCACTTGGTGCTCGACGTGGACATGCCACCACAGGCGGACCTCCTCGCCGCCCCCGAAGTCGGCTACCGTGGAGAATTGGATCCGGAGCAAGCAGTCGTGGTGGAACACGTCCGGAACATGGTCCGCTGGGCACTCGAGCGCCGGTACCCCGAGGACGCAGACCCCGCCCAGTTGCACGACTTCCTCGACCGAACTCGCCACTCGCCCCCACAGGTGCTGCAGCCCTTCTGCGTGCTGGGGCCTGCCGGGTCTGGAAAGAGCACCGCGCTGGAGGTGGCCGTCCAGCGCGCCGCGGAGGCGGGCGCCCACGTTGGCATTGCGTGTCCGACCGGCATGCTCGCGAGCGCCTACCGGGAGAAGTTCCCTGGCCTGGACGTCGACACCTTGCACGGCATGTTTCTGCTGCACCTGCCCCAGGAGGAGACGTGGGATTGCATGGGGAGCTTTGACTTGATCGTCATCGACGAGGTGGGCCAGCTCTCCCGCACGACGTTCGAGCGCCTGCTGTGGTTGTGGGACAACGCGGATCGCCGCCCGGCTTTGGTGTTCGTTGGCGACTTCCACCAGCTGCGGGGCATGGATCCCACAAGGGCCTCCGACAGCCCTCGCTGGCGGGGCGTCGTGAAGCGCCACCTGCAGACGATGCGGCGGTGCAAATGTCCCGAGTTGCGCTGGAAGCTGGAGCTCCTGCGCACCACCAAGCCTTCCAGGGAGCAGTTGCTCCGCATCCTGCGCGGGCATCGGGCAATGCCCGATCGGGGCCCCGGCGTCAGTCCGGAACCCACGGAGCTGGACGTCCAGGGGATGCTGCAGGAAACGCCGCACACCCTGTTCCTGACAATCACTCGCCGCCACGCCGCGCTTCTCAACGATCTTGCCGTCCGAGCCCTATACGGAGATGCCCAGCCCCTCTGCTTCGTGCCGGGCGACTATGAAAGCAACGTGGACAACTACGACGACCTCGGTCAGCTCGTGGACTGTCAGCCGCTGCATCTTCCTGTCTACGAAGGCATGCGCGTGACGCTCACCCGGAACGTGCAGAAGGAGCAGAACTTTGTCAACGGCATGCGCGGGGTCGTGCTGGCCGTGCAAAGCTCCTCCGTGCTGGTCCTCACGCACTGTGGCAACGTGGTGTCCGTGTTTCCCTACACGGACGACGAGATTGTCGTCGCCGGGGAGAATCGACGGATCACCTACCTGCCGATCAGGCTCGGTTACGCGACGAACTTGCAGAAGATCCAGGGAGCAACCCTCGACCACGTGACGATATGGCTCGACGTCCCCAACGTGGAAGCCGCGGCCTATGTGGCGTTGTCCCGGGTCCAATACGACCAGAACTGGCGCTTCCTGGGGCACGTCACGCGGCACCACTTCACCCCGGCCTCGGGCGTCTGAGCGGCTCTCCCACGGAGGCTAGTACCCAGTGATGTATCTTTTGCTTGCCGAAGCTCAGCCAGAGCCACTCTATTATAGTGCACATGAACTGTGTCTATAGCCGGCCTACGCACACAGGCAAACAGAGCACATGCGATAAAGTGCAAGCTGAAGGGTGAGGCTCCAAGATAATTACGGCCAACCGGCGAGTTTGAGATCTGCACAGCTCGACCGCTGGTCCTGGAAAAGAGCAGTCTCGCCACTAATCTGCTGCAAGATCCTGTCGTGTTTATACCACGCAACACGTGCTCACCATTTGCCGTTCCGTTGTGCCTTCTCCTGGCTCATATGAAGGTTCATGCTGTGCTGCACACCTGCTGCCTCATTGTGTCCTGCCCTCAGCTTTTTTTACCGTGCCAATCCCCGGACGAAGCTCGACCCTGTAAACTTGCCACTTCCACGAGGTTAAAAAAAACGAAAAGGTATTGAGTTTAGACCTAAACCCTAAAAGGAATAGGTAAGGGTGGCTTTGCCGCCTTAAACGGCGTGGGGTGGGAGAGAATTGTAGAGTGGCCCTCCACGATCGGGCCATGGCCGCCCTTCGCAATGCGCAAGGCCTTCGCGGCTTGGCTGATAACCGCAACATTTTCAGCTTTGCGGAATATTACAGCAAACTCTAAACCCTAAACCCTAAACCCTAAACCCTAAACCCTAAACCCCCCCCCCCCCCGACAACCCGAGGCCAAGTTCTACGGCGCGCAGGCCAAGAAGGCGAAGACCGAAGCGACCCACGGCTCTCCTCTTCGGAGATAGGGGGGTTTAGGGTTTAGGGTTTAGGGTTTAGGGTTTAGGGTTTAGGGCTTAGGGTTTAGGGTTTAGGGTTTAGGGGCTTAGGGGCTTAGGGGCTTAGGGCTTTCCTCTTGGGGATGAGGGGGGTTAAAGTGTAGGGTCTAGGGGTTAGGGGTTAGAGGCTGAGGGTTTAGTTAGGGCTTGGGGTTTAAGGGTTTAGGGGTTTAGGGGTTTAGGGGTTTGGGGGTTTAGGGGTTTCGGGGTTTCGGGGTTTAGGGGTTTACGGGTTTTCGGGTTTAGGGGTTTAGGGGTTTCGGGGTTTCGGGGTTTCGGGGTTTCGGGGTTTCGGGGTTTCGGGGTTTAGGGGTTTAGGGGTTTAGGGGTTTAGGGGTTTAGGGGTTTAGGGTTGAGTTAGGGCCTGGGTTTTGGGGTTTTGGGCGGCTGACAGGTTTGTTATTTGATTCTGGCACTGTAGTTATGGGATCCAATTCTGCCCCGTACTTTGCAGAGCAGTAGGATTTCAGTTAACTTATGGATGGTGGTCCCCGCCCCCCCCACCCCCCCCACCCCCACCTTCCCAACACCCCACTTGTTTAGGGTTTAGGGTTTAGGGTTTAGGGTTTAGGGTTTAGGGTTTAGGGTCTTACACCTCGGGTGGAGGAGGGGGGCTGCTTGCTTTTGAGGGGTGGCTTAAGGTTTAGGGTTTGTCAGTTTCGGGCTTGGGGTTCCAAAGCTTTGCAGGCATTGGTCGAGGCTTTTTGGTGGTTGGAGAAGGGGGTTTAGGGTTTAGGGTTTAGGGTTTAGGGTTTAGGGTTTAGGGTTTAGGGTTTAGGGTTTAGGGTTTAGGGTTTAGGGTACGTGGCAGGAGAGGCCCGGAGCGCGCAGTCTTCAAGATGGCATGACGTACCTGGAGCTGTTGGTCCTTTTCGTTGTGATGACAGGGGCTTGTCCCCCGATTTGCAATCCGGATGTGCAGTCGACAACGAAGTCTGCGGATGCCAAATCTGCAGTTTTTGGAGGCTCCACTCCGAGAATGGACACATGCGCTGGTCACCAGTGTGCGTCGGAAGGCATCACGGATGCCGCCTTCTCCCACGGCGCCGCAAAAAGGTCTTCAGCCTTCGCACATTGGGCATCCAGGCCCCCAAGATTGGCATTCAGCAGCGCCCGAGATTGGTGCGTACTGAAGATTGTGTTGAGTTAATGCAACAGGTCCTGGTGGCTGAGACGGTTGAACCGCTGCTGTCTTCTTGCCGAGCAGAGACTCGTGCGAAGCACATGGTTGCATGTCGTCACAAGAGCAGCAACAACATGCTCGATGGCTTCGAGGACTGCGGCGTCACAGGACACGGAGGTGCGCTGCCGCGTTGATGCTGGCGTGTGCCTCCTCTCCAACCAGTTAAAGGTTTAGGGTTTAGGGTTTAAGTGTTAGGGTTTAGGGTTTAGGGTTTAGGACCCAATGACTAGGCTACGGGTGTTGCTTTCGAGATTTAGGGGCGTTTTTTGAGGGTTCGGGTGTTCAAGGCAGGGGCTTCTTTTGCCAGGGGTGCTTAGAACCTGTGTTCATGGGTTCCCCTACTACCCCCCCTCATTATACTGCTTTAATGATCCCTAAGTAGCCCCAATTATTGGGAGGAACCCTGGGGGCGGGCAGTCTAGACGAACCCATGATGTGACCCTTGCAAGAACAGTGCTGTAGCAGCTGACCCCCTGCCACACCAGAAACCCCCAAGCCAATAGAAGCTCTGCAGCCATCAGCGCTCCACCCCCACCTAAACCCGAAACCCTGACCCCTGAACCCTAAACCCGGACCCCTAAACCCTCAACCCTCAACGCCTAATCCCCACCCACCCCCTCTCCAAGAAAGGGTCCCGGTGTGCTTCCCCAAAGCCCAGGAAGGAGGAGGCATGAGCCGACAGCAGCCTGGCTCACAAAGAACTAGTAATGGCTTAAGAACCCTCGAAAGAATAGTATTATTCTTCCCTATGAGGGCAAGTAGAGGGATGATAGTCTTTTGGGGGGTTCTTAAGCAAATAGTAGAGAAGAAGCCCGAAACACCGAGGGTTTAGGACTGCGTGTTTGGGGTTTAGGGTTAGGGGTGTGGGGTTTAGCGTTTGCACCTGCTTTGGGGTTTTGGTTCAGGGTTCAACCGCCTGGAGCTTCTATTTACCTATTTAGGGTCTAGGGCTTAGGGTGAGCTTAGGGCCCATTTACCTACGTTGTTTTTTTGTTTGGGGGGGGGGGGGGGGTAGTATGCCTTACATGTAGGAGGTTGTAACCTACCTTCTGTGCAGGGTTTGGGAGTCACAGGTAAACCCCACTTGAACATCAAACCTAAACCCTAAAGCCCTCAGCCCCAACCTCAAGAACCCAAATAGGGCTCAGGGTCTTGCGGTTTAGGGTTTAGGCATACTTCTTTGCGTTCTTCGTTCTTCTTCTCAAAGCCCTTTTAGGGCTCCAAAGTATCCTACAAGAAAGTCGGCTTAGGATGCTTTAGGACACCTGTGTTCAGACCCTACGCCCCAAACGCGTCCCTTCCTGTGACGATCTCTCTTGAAGAAATTACCTGTCAGAGTTCATGGCTTTGGTAAGAGTTTAGTACTTGGGGTTTTGGGTCTCGGGGTTTAGGATTTTTGGGGGTTTTGGCGGGTTTAGGGACTTAGGGGTTTAAAGCTTCGGATTGAGGGTACAGGCTGAGGGCTGGGGGTGTCGGAACGACATACGGTTCCGCAGCGCCATGGCCCCTGATTATGTCCACGTTCTTAAAGTTAACCGTATAAACAGCAAGCCCTAAACCCACTCATTCTAGAGGCAAGCTAACTTAGGGTTCCTCGGCTTTCCCCTATTTTTTCCGTTCGAAGTTTTTTCGAGAGGGTGTTGGAGCCGAGAGCAGAATGCCACGGCCACTGTCGCGAAGATGCCTGTTATGTCCGGATTGTGTGAACCTCCTGAACCTGAGGTGTTAGTTGGGATGTTTCCCCTTTATACCAGCAGGCCTTAATTGGGATTGTTATAGTACGCTATTATAATGCCAATTAAGGACTGTTAGTATGAGGGGGAACATCCCAAGCTGTCAGGGTTCAGGGTTCAAGGTCTGGACCGCTAGATCCTTGAACCCACAGCCCCTAAACCACATTTGACTGCACGCCGAAGCTTGTGGCCGAAGCGACCACGCCTGACCCTAAACCCTAAATCCTAAACCCCAAACCCTAAACCCTAAACCCTAAACCCTAAACCCTGAACCCTAAACCCTAAACCCTAAACCCTAAACCTCCAATCCCTGCACCCCCAAGCGCCCTAACCTGTACAGAACCTAAACCCTCTGTAAGCCCGCAACCTTAAACCCTCAATCAGACAAGACCTCTAGTGGACCCGATCAAGACCTTACTACACCCTAACCCCCAAGCCCTAAACCCTAAACCCTAAACCCCAAACCCTAAACCCTAAACCCTAAACCCTAAGCTCTCAACCTCAAACCTCCATACCCTAAACCCATGCGTTGAGGAACATCAACGCAGGCTGACACTCGCTGCCCTTCCTAGTCTCAGCTCACAAACCCAGGGGGTCTACCCTAAACCCTAAACCCTAAACCCCCCAACCCCCCAACCCCCCAACCCCCAAACCCCCAAACCCTGAACCCCTCCATGAGCTCCAAGCGCAAGCGCGAGCCCGGGCGCACAGCCACGGCGGAGTCATCCCCGGAGCCCTGGGATGACCTGCCGCATGACCGCAGCAGGTGTTTTATCTTTGATAATATAACAGGGGCAGGGGCGGGGGGGGGGGGGTAGGGGTTCAGGGTTAGGGGTTAGGGTTTAGGGTTTAGGGTTTTGGGTTTCGGGTTTTTGGTTTAGGGCTGTCGTTTTTGTAATTATGGGGTGGGGGTGGGGGGGGGTTCAGGTTCAGGGTGGGCTCGAGGGTTTGAGTGTTTTCGGTTTTGTTTCTGCGTGTGTCAGTTTTATATACGTACTTGGAGGGTTATAGGGTAGGGGAACTATGGACATACCTTACTGTGAGGGTACGTATAGCCCTACTTATAGGTACCCATGAACCTTCAAGTCACCCCGAAACCCTCAACCCTATACATCCTAAACCCTATACGTATACCTCGAACCTGCAAGGCAAGGTTCAGGATTTCTGGCGTTTGATATGGGCGATTCTGGACACGAAGCCCTTAATCCTGAACCTGAAGCAACTCTGGAAGCTGGACTTTTTTCGGAAACCCTAAACCTAAACCCTAAACCCTATGTAAACCCTAAACCCTAAACCTTAAACCCTAAACCCTAAACCCTAAACTCTAAACCCTAACCCTGTTTAGATACAGAGACACAGAGACACACAGGAGACTGGAGTTCTCCTGCGGGAGCTCGCGGATGGCGAGCTCTCAGCTGCTGTGCTCTTGCTCCGAGGCTCTGGGCTACGCGCGGTTTAGGGTTTAGGGTTTAGGGTTTAGGGTGTAGGGTGTAGGGTTTAGGGTGTAGGGTTTAGGGTTTAGGGTTTAGGGTTTAGGGTTTAGGGTTTAGGGTTTATAGGGGTCAGGGGTTAGGGTTTCGAGGCTCTGGGCTGCAGGTCATGGAGCATAGCGTCTAACAATCAGGTTTATCGCTAGTAGGGCTTCTATTTTTGTCAGTTTCGGGCTTCAGCGTTTAGGCCCGAAAGCCTAAACCCTAAGCCATAAGCCCTAAACCCCAAACCCCAAACCCTAAACCCTAACCCCTAAACTCTAAACCTTAAACCCTACACCCTAAACCCTAAACCATGCCCAGAGGTGTTTCATCGGATGCTGGCGTCGGGCATGCAGGAGTCCCAACAGCGTACCATCAAGGTTGAGGTGGCCAGCAAGGAGGAGTCGCCACCTCGTTGTGGGGTTTAGGGTTTTGGTTTTAGGGTTTAGGGTTTCGGGTTTAGGGTTTATGGTTTAGGGTTCAGTCAGTCCCTAAACCCTTACCCCGACAGTTTCGGACGTGAGGCAACCTCGGCCCTGCTTGCCTCAACCCCTACAGTAAAGGCCTGAACCCTAAACCCCAAACCCCGAACCCTGAACCCTAAACCCTTGAACCCTCCCGCGAAGACAAGCTAGGCTTACGAGACTGGTCGAAGGGTTTGGGGTTTCGGGTTTAGGGTTTCGGGTTTAGGTTTAGGGTCTAGGGCTGAGAGAGAGGGTGTAGGGCCTCTCGGTTATCGAGGTTTAAAAGTTTCCGGCTCGTGTGGTCTAGGAGTTTAAGTTTAAGGGCTTGAGGGGGCTTAGGCCCAGCATGAGGCTTATTGCGGAGTAGGAAGCCGAGGGCTATTCGGTGAGGGTTCAGGGTTCAGGGTTCATGGTTCAGGGTTCAGGGTCCAGGGTTCAGGGTTCAGGGTTCAGGGTTTAGGGTTTAGGGTTTAGGGTTGAGGGTTGAGGGTTTAGGAGTGTAGGGGTTCAGGCGGTGCAGGGTCTCTTGGGTTAATCCCATGATTTCAAGGTTGGTTTTTGTGGCAGACAATATTTTCCTTGTTGGGGTCAACAATATAAATATTGTTCGAAGGGTGTAAAGGCCCACCCAGTTCGTCTTACTTGGACCTACAACCCAGTTATAACCCTACTTGAGTACTTAAGGGTCTCTAAAGTGGGTTATACCTAGACTCATAATTGGGTTACTAAGAACCCTGAACATCCAAATAGGACCCTGACAGGACTTCGACGTCTTCTACAGCCTCCTGAAGCCCTTCGCATGGACTCCCGAGAAGGTCAATGCAGAAAATGTCGACGGCCTCTTGGCCATCAGCGACTACTACCAGGCAGCCCTAAACCCTAACCCTAAAGCCCAAACCCTAAACCCCTCTCAAGCGAAAAGCAAGCAACAAAGGGTTGAAGGTCGAGGAGTCCTGCCGGAAGCTGTGGGCCTCGAATTGGGGTTTAGGGTTTAGGGTTTATGGTTTAGGGTATTGGGGTATTAGGGCATTAGGGTATTAGGGTACTAGGGTATTAGGGTGTAGGGTTTAGGGTTTAGGGGCCCTATTCAGTGCCCTGAACTGCAAGTGAGGTAGGGCTTAGGGCTCAGGGGATTTCAGTCCCAACACTAAACTGATCAAACAGGTCTCCCGCAAATTCGGCTCCCCCCCGCCCCCCGCCACCCCCACTTGGTGCAGGTAGAGCGCCTCAAGAAGGGCTGCGAGGAAACTCTGCTTCGTCTACCGGCTCCTTGGCCTTTGCGCATAGTTTAGGATCCAGGGTGAGGGTTTCGGGCCTAAACTTGCAGAGATGACCCTTTCAATCCCTAAGCCCCCAAACCCAGCAAAACGTATAGGCCTATAGACCCTTTAAAATCACCATAAACCCTGGACCCTCTAAACCTCTAATACAGGGGTCGGAATAATTCCTAGTAGTATCCCCTCAGGGTCCCTTTATATCCATACTATAATAAACCCAAAACTCTATTCTAAATATTCAGGCCCCTAATATACACCCCTACAGCGCCTCAACCCCCTCAACCCTTAACCGCGCTGGGCCCAGGTGACTCCGGCACGGCTACTGCAGGCCAACCCTAAACCCTATACCCTAAACACTAAACCCTAAACCCTAAACCCTAAACCCTAAACCCTAAACCCTAAACCCCCTAAAAGCATGCTGATCCATCCTTACGGCCTTACTTGGAGAGGTTCAGGGTACTCCTCACCCAATGATAACTGTACTTATGAACCCAAGAAGCCCCCCTAAGTCCTCTAAATAGGTTATAAGTCTTGGGGTTACAAGTACCCATGAACCTCCAAGTAGGGTTTAAGGCTTGGGGTTTCGGGTTGCGGGTTTAGGACCCATCCGGAAAGCCTCCTAAACCTCAGCCGCGCAGAGACCCCGAGCTCGTATAGCCCAAACACACACAATTTTCCTACATCCTAAATCCTGCACGCTGAACCCTCAGCCCTGAACCCTAAACCCT